TCAGTTTCTTTCCAGATTGTCTGATTGAGCGGTTGGAGGTGTAGGCACCTCAGTATGCTTGACATAGGCCAGCACTAGGTCCTCTCCCTCACCCACTCTTTTTCTCTTCTCCTCAGTGTAGGGCTTTCAATACATTTATATAAATATATAAACTAAACGAACTTTATGGTTGTACGGCAGTGAAGCATCAGTGCTGTCATTGATGATGATGATGATGATGATGGTGGGTGACAGCATGTCCAGAATAATGACCTTACACTTTAGAGGTGCAAAGCGCGTGCCAAAGGACTGAATTAATTTTTTCGGTCCATCCAAAAATACTACCAGCGTGGAACACTGATGTCACGCTGTCGATGATGATGACCTGAACTTTCTTTTTTTGCACACGAAAACGACATCGTCTGCGTATTCCAGATGGAGAATTTTGTCAGCAGCTACTCGAATATGAGGGCTTTGAAGACTTTTCAGTGTTCCTCTGATTGACTCGTCGAGCACGAATAGGAACGAGGATGGAGAGAGTGGGTATCCATGTCGGATAACACCTTGTGTGTGGAAGCCCTTACGCAGCTCTGCAAATAAGGTCGCAATCTTAAAAGTCTGAGAACACCCTTGCCAAGAAAGCTTGTTATGGAGAACAGATGGGTAAACCTAGTCAAATGCGCCTCAGAAATCCTGGAATACGAATACAGCAAGTGGTTACTGCACAGGGTTTTGTCTTAGCACCTGAGGCAGTGCGAAGATCTGGTCAGTGCAACATCTACCTGGTAGGAATCCCGCTTGCTGCTCTCGAATCAACGCTTGACGCGCCACATTAAGCGGGAAAAGACAAGTGCTACCAGGAAAGACGCTATCGATCGACTAAAAGTTGCTTACATGCACACACGACCAACCTCTGATGATGAGCATACTACGAACCCCTCCATTACACAACCACACAGTCACGCGATCCCTCCTTCGACCAGTGCCACCACCAATACCACATACACTCCTTCACTCACAAGATCTGGTCGACATTGCAAACTTCCTGTTCGTTTCAAAGACTAACTGTCGTGACGCATTTCCTTTTCGAGCGTCTTTCTCACCCAGTTGACGGTCTATGCCGGCTAATCGATGTCAGTGGCGTTCGTGCTATCAGTTTCTTTCCAGATTGTCTGATTGAGCGGTTGGAGGTGTAGGCACCTCAGTATGCTTGACATAGGCCAGCACTAGGTCCTCTCCCTCACCCACTCTTTTTCTCTTCTCCTCAGTGTAGGGCTTTCAATACATTTATATAAATATATAAACTAAACGAACTTTATGGTTGTACGGCAGTGAAGCATCAGTGCTGTCATTGATGATGATGATGATGATGGTGAGTGACAGTATGTCCAGAATAATGACCTTACACTTTAGAGGTGCAAAGCGCGTGCCAAAGGACTGAATTAATTTTTTCGGTCCATCCAAAAATACTACCAGCGTGGAACACTGATGTCACGCTGTCGATGATGATGACCTGAACTTTCTTTTTTTGCACACGAAAATGACATCGTCTGCGTATTCCAGATAGAGATTTTTTTCAGCAGCTACTCGAATATGAGGGCTTTGAAGACTTTTCAGTGTTCTTCTGATTGACTCGTCGAGCACGAATAGGAACGAGGATGGAGAGAGTGGGTATCCATGTCAGATAACACCTTGTGTGTGGAAGCCCTTACGCAGCTCTGCAAATAAGGTCGCAATCTCAAAAGTCTGAGAACACCCTTGCCAAGAAAGCTTGTTATGGAGAACAGATGGGTAAACCTAGTCAAATGCGCCTCAGAAATCCTGGAGTACGAATACTGCAAGTGGTTACTGCACAGGGTTTTGTCTTAGCACCTGAGGCAGTGCGAAGATCTGGTCAGTGCAACATATACCTGGTAGGAATCCCGCTTGCTGCTCTCGAATCAACGCTTGACGCGCCACATTAAGCGGGAAAAGACAAGTGCTACCAGGAAAGACGCTATCGATCGACTAAAAGTTGCTTACATGCA